GGCGCGACGGAGTGGAGCGCCCGCGCTCAGCGCGCTCGCCGATAACGCGACAGGGTCGTGCATCCCCGTCTGTGAGCGTCTTGTCGGGGTTCAGCGCCATCTCCTTCGCCGTTGGTGGCTTCAGTCAGCGCTGCTGGGGTCGCAACTGCCGGCCTCGTCACCTCTGGGCGCGCCGCCAGACGCGCCGCCGGCGCTGCCGCTGCCGACAGCTATGCCTCGAGGGCTTCCAACGTCGAGGCTTATCTCTGGAGGGGAATAGAGCCCGGCCGGCTCCGGCTGCCCAATATAATGGTAGGGTGTCTTTGGCTCGTCAATCTTCATCTTGGGGTTGGCGGCGGCGTACTCGGCGTTCGCTTGCAGGTTTGGCTCGTCCCACCTGATGCCCTTCCTGCCAGGCGAGGACATGCTGTCTGGCCAAGTGTCGTAAGCTACGCCTGTGCTAGTGCCAGTGCGCGCCGTCCCGTGCGTTCCCAGTGCACAGGGCGGGCTGCGACAAGGAAAAAAGAAATGCTACCCGCCGCGGCTGTAATCCCGTCGGAGCGAGGGCTGAACAAGTACAGTCTGTTGCGGGCATTAAGAAACCTTACCATTAAGAAACCACGCTGAGCGATTTCCGCAAAAATCTAAGAAAAACGTCGCGCCGCAGGCGCGGCCCTAAGAAAGGGCCCACACACACGAGTGTGAAGAAGAGAGAGAGAACAGGAGCCCCGCTCAAATTTTCTCTTCGCCTGCGGCGCGCGCTCTTGTCATTTGCCCAAGTCTGTGAGGTCGTGATTTCTTGTTGGCGCGCCAGTTCGCACCTGTGTCGAGCCTGTGTGCTGTGAGAGAGAGTTCTTTTGTTTAAATTCTTGTTGGTTTCCTAAAATCTCTCTCCCCAAGTCTGCGGTGTTCTGGGCGGTGTGGATGGAGGTGTGTGCGTCTTCCTGTCATCCCAAGTGGGTGGCAGACTGCGGACTGGCGACATCCGGAGCGGTCCAGCGCTTCCTTATTGTCATTTTACCTAAACATTCCCCGATCCCCGATCCCGGCTCGGATTGACCTGGGGTGCCGGCCGAAGCTAAGAAAACCACGGCGTGGGGTGGGTGGGGTGGGTGGAAAGGCTTAGAAACGGCGGCGTGCCGCGAGATCCTGTTTTCTTAATGCCCGCAACAGACTGACTGTGTGTATTCGCCTGCTTGCACCGACCGCGAGCTAGCTAGCTAGCTAGCTACTCCACAGACACACGACCCGCGCCCCCATCACTCCCCCGTCCGTCAGCACGCCGGCGAGCGGCAACCTGCAGCATCTGAGGGAGAAGGGCAAAGAAAGGCTGATAAGGCTGAGGCGGCAATGGATGTCATGGAATGCTCACTAGACCGCTTAGCCTGAAATGCGAGCACTTATTAGAGCGCAGCTCCGAGTTTGCATCCCCGCGACGTACCACGATGATCGTCTGCGGCACACTGACCGTCTTCCTCATGTCATCTGTCGAGCACTCTCGTCTTCACATGGGCGGAGGCCACGCTCCCGCAGAGTGGTCGTACGACGCCGGCGGCCTCCGCGGCTGGTCCTACTATATCCGCGCATTCAACCTGCTACGCGAACAGCCGAGCATGGAGATCGGATGGGGTCAGTGGTCCAAGCCTGGTGGCCACTCGGAGGACATCCTCGAGGTCTGCGGGCTCCACCCGGGCGGCTTCGTCTGCGACCCATGCGAGGCATGCGAGTC